CCACGAACCGCGAGATCATGACCTAAGCGAAAGTCAGACGCTTAACCGACTAAGCCACCCAGGCACCCCGATCTCACAGTTTGTGAGTCTGAGCCCCGGACAGGGATTCCTTGCTTGGGATCCTCTCTCTCCCTGTCTCTCTTTCCCTCCCCCACACTTGCTCTCACTCTCTGTCTCTCTCAAAATAAATAAATAAACATTAAAAAATCCAATCAGAAAGATTTCAGTTCTTTGCTTTCCCACGTGTTAGCTAATTAGAGCTAGTAGAGATTTCTTTGGTACAGGAGCATTAAAAGCACTTTTAATTAGACCAATAGAAAACAGCTTGGTCAAGGACTTCTACCTCCTTTGAATAGTTTTCTTTCCCTTCAGATTTTCTGTCTAGAACATTAACCACAAATATATCGTGAGTGGAAAAGGCTGCTCCTAAGGGTCCCCTGGCTGCCCAAGCACATTTGAGTACCCTCAGGAAAGGGTAATGCATCTCCTGCTTGATAGGAGTATGGGAAGGTGTAATTCTTAGAGGATTTACCATGTATTTCATGCTGGAAGCATACTTGTGAGACGGAAATAGCTGTCTGGATGACTGAAGATCACAGCCCTGTATCAGGAGGGAATCCTACATAGAGCTAATATCCGATCACTGGGCATGTGTTAGGAACTCTGGGTGTGGGGGCTGCTTATTGCAGTGGGCCAGGAGAAAAAGGGCATCGATGTGAACAATTGTTCCATGGAACAGGGAACAATTTGCTGCTGATAGTGGGGAGACCTTCCTGACTCACCTGGACAAAGGTGAACTCTATTGTTCCCAGGTGGGGGGCTTTTGATGGCCAGCCCACTTTAACCAACCAGTAACTGAGTCATGCAGGGAATTTAAATATAAAATGAAAAACAATTTCCATGACTCTACCACCTGTAGTCAAAAAATCTTTTAAAATAGTCTCTTCAGTATGTCATGAGATTTCCAGATGTTCTCTGTTCTCTGTAAATACCCACAACTTACTAAATTTTCTCTATAAGCCTGGGTCTTTTTCACCCTGTGAGTTGAGTTGTATGACTAAAAGTCAGTTGTGTTTATTAACAGATTTACTGCAGTTTTGGTTTTTATTGCAACTGCACAGTGTAACGAAATATTTTGCAAACTGACAAAATAGAAATGTGGAAAAAAAGAGTTGTTATTTCTATAAAAACTAAGGAAATACTCTGGAAGTACTCAAAAAAGAGAAGCTGCTCAAGAAATTGCTGTGGAATGAGATGGAAGAGTAATTGTAAAAGGCTACAGGAGGAAAATTAGAAAAATCTCAGTCATTACAGTTTTATTCCCCTTTAAAGTATCAAAACCTGATCATCAGAGAAATGATTTACGGATGTGATTTTTGCAGATTATAACCAGGAGACTCTTACCCAAAGGAAAAAGCTTGGTTTGATATTTGAAGATTGGTGAATACATATACATGTGAAATTTGAGGGTACAATAAATCATTCAAGAGTGCATAATTTGTTTTATGATTCTCCACTTTTAACTGACTTTTGAAGAGAGTCAACAAGCCATTGGCCAAGTGCATGTGCAGTAGCCTCTGCACTTTATCCAGGCAGGGCCACCATCTCTCCCTGTGGTCTTCCTGGATGAGTCATTTCATATGAGTTTTTGTGCAGGTAGAGCTGAGAAATTGGGTAGTCTCTGAACTTTCTACGGCCCTCGTGTGAGGTGGAATGCTAGAGACTTTCTCCATGCTTTAAACAAATGTCAGAAAGCTCTGCAGGCATAGGGCAGACCAACAGTGATGTTCGGACTCTCCACCATATAGAATCCCAAACTATCGAACCTGGATCAGTATCAACAGAGAGCTGCCCCCAGAGTAAAGCAAAGCTAACACTTGTGTTCACTGAGAATTTGAGAAAATAGTTCTGGCATTTTCCTTTGCTGATTTGGGTCTTTCTTAATCTGAATCCATAACCCTAGCTGCAGCATTTTCCAGGGGAGATTTCCCTTGCACTACAGAAGTATAATAAATGAGGTACACCAAAAGGGAGGAGAAGTTAGTGGTGCTTCCATGTTGTCTAAAAAATAGAACAGGGTTTAAAAGAAGCAGAATATTCATGGCATGTATAATTACCAATTTAATGTAGCATTATTTCTAGAATTGTAAGCCAGCCAAAATGATATTGGTATAGATACAACCCTAATGACTAATTTCATCACTGCCTTTGGGATCTACGCAGTCATTACAACAAAAATGGATAATTGTTGGGACTGATTTCAGATAATAGCGCTGTTAGCCCTGCATTTTCCTAATCATTCTCTTTCTTGCCACGTGCAAATATGGAAACCGTCATATACACTGAAGTTGAAATACGGAGGAAGGAGTTGGGTGGGAGTGGGGAGGCTCTGTCTCAGCCACTTCCACAAAGAAAGAACAATATTAAAATAAAGGCAAGGGGGCACCTGGGTGGCTCAATTGGTTAAGCATCAGACTTCATCTCAGGTCATGATCTCCTAGTCTGTGAATTTGAGCCCCGCATCGGGCTCTGAGCTGACAACTCAGAACCCAGAGACTGCTTCAGGTTCTGTGTCTCCCTCTCTCTCTGCTTCTTCTGCTCATACTCTGACTCTCTCTCTCTCAAAAATAAACATTAAAAAATTTTTAAAAAAATAAATAAAATAAAATAAGGGCAGTCTTCCAGTCACCTTGGATAAATAATCATGAAAATGGTGAATAGTCCCAGTATTTTCCTTTCCTCTTTAATACAAAGAGTGATAATTTATTTAAAAACAAACAAACAAACAAAAATACAAACCCACATCCATTGAAAATTCACCACAGAGGTACCCACACAAAAATGATGCTACTTAAATCAGAAGTATTTTGAGCCTGGTCTGAGAGGATGAACTATTTCACTAATTACTATGCAGTGTATTTATAGCCTTAATTGTTTTTCCCCCACTTCTCCAGGGACATGTTTCTTCCAGAAGCACAGTTGCTGAAGCAAACATTTATTTTTATTGTTTCATAGGAAGAAAGCGGTAGTACCCAACCAGCTACTGTAATTCTGTAAAATCAGCTGCTAGAGAATTTTACATAATTTATACTTTTGCCCCAAGCTGTGCCTTAGGGTCTGCCTTATTTTTCTGTTTGAACTTGACAGAAAATAGTCTGCTGGAATTCAATACATTTTAAAAGATACTGATAATACTTCCTTTCAACCAATACTTTGCACGCAATCTTACTGCTCTTCTCTTATCTTCAAAAATGTTACCTAAAATCCTAAAACATCAGTTAATCATGAAACCAAAACACACTTTATTTGTACCCTTGAAGGAATATGCCTCTTTAAAAAAGATCTCTCTTCATTGCAAAAATAATACATGTTCATTGTGGAACATCTGGAGCACAACATAAAATATACAGAAAAAAAAATTAACCTAAAACTCACCAACCAGGGGAAAGTATTATAAACATTTGGGCAAACTGGCTTCCAGCGAAAGAATATAAAGCTGTATTAAATCTTAAAAATGATCTTTAATTCCTTAATAAAAACTTATTTTCCTCAATAAAAAGTTTTGTTACAATTTTTCTCTGGGACTTGCATTTCTTGTATCTTTGGAAGAGTATTTATTTATTTTTATTTTTTTAAATGTTTTATTTATTGTTGAGACAGAGAGAAACAGAGGATGAGTGGGAGAGGGGCAGAGAGAGAGGGAGACACAGAATCGGAGGCAGGCTCTCGGCTCTGAGCTGTGAGCACAGAGCCCGATGCGGGGATCAAACTCACGAACCGTGAGATCATGACCTGAGCAGAAGTCAGATGCTCAACCGACTGAGCCACCCAGGCGTCCCTGGAAGAGTATTTAATAGTGAACTTCATGTGCAGTTTAAAATTTTTGCCATCTTGAATGTTAAATAAGAGATCCTTAAGTCTAAGAGATTTCGATTGATGAATAATATACTTATGTGAGAACACTGTCCAAAAGGATAATTTAAAAAATCAGGTCAGTTACTTTCAGAATGATGATTTCAAACTAAGCTTTGAGACAATCCTAGTACATGCTTCAGAGAAATATATATTTGTTGGTACACATACTTTAAGTGTATCCCAAAGTAGAACACTATCAGAAAATTCAACCAAATTGGGGAAACCTCCTTAAAAAGCTTCCGTGAGCCTCACAGAACTTCATCAAAGAGAAGACTCACCTTTTTTTGTTTTGCCCATTTGGAGATTCCGAGGCTACGTATCATTTTCATGTCTCTACATGTGCCAGGTTAAAGACATTTATCGTGTAGGATCTTTTAGATAAGAGCATCTTGAAAGCCAGGATTGCAATTTTGAGTACTCAAGAGCAATACAGACTGCCTCTGGTAATGCAGGCTTACATGTGTAGTTTGTTTTAAAGTGACGTCTAAAGCTATGTTTAGTATGTTCTCTTCCAAATAAATACAAGGAGATGAGTACAAGGAAAGTGTCAGGGCTGTTCATATATATATATATATATATATATATATATATACACATATATATATATATATTTGTGTACACACACACACACCCCTTATTAACATACTGCCAACATGGTAGTCAAGTGTCTTCAAGCTCTCTTTCTATTGAATACAACTATCAGGGTATTTCATTCCTATACTCAAATGCCATCATATAAATCCTTTCTGACAATCGGACATGTAAAGTGGGAAGAATTCATTGGAATATATGTTCTGAGAATTTACCAGTGTCTTTTTGATAACCAATTCTTGTTCACCTGCATATGCATATTTGACTGAGTGCCACTGAGTATCATGTAGCAATGGAAACTTTTATAGGAAAACACCAAGAATTAGTAGTGAGGCAAAGTTACCACATTTGCAACAGACTTGAGCACTGAACCAAAGATGGGGAGTCCAGGATCCCTATCACCTCCAAGAAGATGTCCAATGTACCCCCACACTCCGGGAGGGCGAGTGAATGAACCTGAGAAGCACAGCAGGTGGACAGTCTACAATACTTACCTGAGGGCCGTTCTGTAGTGGTAGATTGCTTCCCGGTTCCGACCTTGGTCCTTCAGGAAATTGGCATAGTTGTAGTGAACCTTGGCATTGTGGGGCAGAGTTTGAACTCCAGACCTACAAGTAATGCATAAAAAAAAAAAAAAAAGAATATTGTTTAGGGATACTGTTAGTTTCTTTCATGTTTTACTCAGTTTCATGAACCTTCATTTGAAATGTCCATTGCATCCATCTAAGCTGGTTTTTCCAAAATTTGTGAATTATGTGACTTATTAATTATGCTTCTCTGGAGAATAATGGAGGCAGTATGTGGTTGCGTACAATTAAACAAACATGCTGACTGCATATGAAGCGGGGGGGATGGGATAATTCTCTAGAGAACAAAACTGCATGCTCAGGTTAATTCAGTTTTTCCTTCCTTGCTTCTTTTGTTCATTTACAACCTTCCTTTAAAAAAAATGGAGAGAGTCAACAAAAATATACACTAGACCACCCTGCGTATTAAGTTTTATTGGAAATTAACATGTCCCTTGTACCAAGCCTGGGCTAATTTAAATAAATAAATACATAAATACATAAATAAATAAATGTAGGAATCATTATTTTACAAGTTGTAGGTAAGGAATTGAAGTTTTGCTCAAAAAGGTAAAAACCTTCCTTAAATGGTCACTGTGTTTGTCTGCTTGCACTGACATAACCAACTACCTGGGCCACCCCTACAGGGCAGCACTGAAGTTTTAGAGTTGATTTGAGGGGCAAGTGGGGGCTGGAGGGGATCCATTTCTCATTCGTAACTAGCCCACAGATTTAACCTGTACAAGGTGACACAGCTGGTAAGTGGCGGAGATGGGTTTCTAGAGGGTTCTAGTTTGGTTCTAGAGTCCCTCATTCCCTCACGTGCAGGGAGGTGGTGGCAGGAGAATGAAGAAAGAAGATGGGCTGGAGGGCCACTTGGAAAGGAAAACCCTGGAACTAGCAAGGATTAAATGTGGGAGGGGGACAGGTGATGAGAGAGAGCAAGAAAGCATAACCACCTAGTTTCTAGGCAAGTTTAACACACTACTATCTCTCCCAGATAACACACTTTCATTCAGATTTTAACTTATTTTTTAAAAATGTTTATATATTTATTTTGGGGAGGGGGAGGGGCAGAGAGACAGAGAGAGGGAGAGAGAATCCCAAGATTGCAGGTTCACAAACTGAGATCATGACCTGAGCCAAAATCAAGAGTTGGACACTCAACTGACTGAGCCATCCAGGTGCCCCTAGTAAAATTAAGATTAATAGAAGGATTTCATACAAAGTGCTAAACCCTGTTGGGGAAATATGTAAGGGCACTGTAACCTTTGCTGAATGTTCAGAGAAATAACAGGCTCCCTAGGACCAGCAAACAGTCCCACATAAAATTCACTGGCTGGACATCTGAGGAACTCTCTAGAAGACAGAACTCACAGAGAGTGCAAGAGGCTAGAGTCCAATCCAAGGGCAACATCATCTGAAGCAGCAGACTCTAAACTTACCCAGGCCACTTCAGTGACTTCAAATGTCTGGCAGGTAGCTGGGATTTTTGGTGGGTGGGTGGTGGCTGAACACGGACTAAATCTGTATTGGGAGCAGTTAATTCTCAGATCCTCATCCCTTACAGCTAGGTGACTTTTTATCATTATTCTTTCCCCATCCCAGCAAAAGGCAGGAGTTTTACTCTCTGGAAAAACAGAGTTAGAGAAGATTCTGCACTCAGCAACAACAGGTACAGCTGAGGGAATGGGGAGGAACTGTCTTTTAAAGGCAGATTATGGGAGAATCTCTAATCTGAACATTGGGATCTCAGTTTCTCCCCCTTAAAAAGCTCTCTGAAGAGCCAGGATTAGATTTCTCAGGAGGAGCCTGGAGGAATTTTCTCAGTGGGAACTGACCCACCCGAGACAAAAGATACACAAACGCTGACATTTGAGTTCTCCAGTAAAACCATCAGTATCTTTCAATCGCCCTACGGTGAGATCCAACCACTTCCACATAGAGCTAGGATTTTAATGTAATATTTTAAATGGAAATTACCCATCTGGGTCAGAGTGATAATAATGGCTTTAAAAAATTCCAATTTCTAACCAGGAAAACTTCTGATCTTTCTACCCAGAAATAAGTAGTGCAAGGTAATAGGCAGATTTTAAAGGTAACTTTGATTTCAGCGTGGATATAACTGGCATATTGGAATTGACCGTTCCCTCTGTGTGATTAGCACAGTGACTCTCATTTATGTTTCATCTGAGGAACAGACAGTCCTGTGGAAACATGGTCCCTGCTCAGATCAGGTCATTGTTTAGTGATGGCCAGAGGAAGTAATAATATTCGTAACAGGCAAGCTGATGTGGGTGGAGTAACTTGAATCCTAAGAACACACTGCCTTTTCCATTGTTGTTTTTGACCTTTATGTTCTCTCTGTGATATTTTTCTGCTATGTTTTTCCAGTCTCTCATTTTACAATGACTAGTTTGTGGAAAAGGGGAAATAAACAACTGGCCAAAGGCAAAACTTTCCACGTCGCTGTAACTGGCCAAGCTGCTCTTGCTTCCAGAACTAGTCTCTTCTATTTGCTCCCTTGATGCTATGGTGTCACATAGCCCCAACAGTTCTAGTGGAACCAAGCAGCTTACATGCATTTATTCTAGAAAGACAAGTAGTATTCATTAATTATACAGCTGGATCCCAATCCTGTAATCCCAATGATGACCACAAAGAAAAATCTCCCATTCAACTCAGGATCTAAATTCATGTACCTCACAGTTCTCCCTCATCCCTCTTACTTGTACAACACTTGAAAAATAACAGAAACATGGGGCACCTGGGTGGCTCAGTCGGTTAAGCGTCCAGCTTCGGCTCAGGTCATGATCTCATGGTGCGTGGGTTTGAGCCCCACGTCAGGCTCTGTGCTGACAGTTAGCTCAGAGCCTGGAGCCTGTTTCAGATTCTGTGTCTCCCTCTCTCTCTGACCCTCCCCTGTTCATGCTCACTCTCTGTCTCTCTCTCTCAGAAATAAATAAAACATAAAAAAAAATTTTTAAAGAAAAATAACAGAAATGGGGGTGGGGCTGGCTCAGTAGGTAGAGCATGAGACTTTTGATCTCTGCGTTGTGGGTTTGAGCCCCATGTTGGGTATAAAGATTGCTTAAAAATAAAATCTTAAAAAAAAAATAAAGGAAAAATAACAGAAACAACAAGAAAAGCCACTGCTCTCAGGTGTATCTCCAAGTTTATAGAACATCAATTTGTTTTATTGGTATCACTGGACAATAGGTCATGAGCACCATCCCCAAATTCCTGATTAGAAAACAAACATTAAAAAAGCAGCATTCAGCCCGAGGTTAACAGGAAAGGAGAGTAAGAAGGATTTGTGGTTCCCTTCAATTCTGACCCTGCTTTGACCTGAGGTTGCACAATGCCACACTCAGAGTGGCTGGTACACACAGAATGGAATGCTCAATTTGAACTGAGCTCTAGGCTGAGCACACCATTTCCATGGACTGCCTCCTTGTATCCCTTCAGTCACTTATTGGATGGGTAGAATTACTGTACCTCCCATACTTCAGATGAGGAAACTGAAGTTCAGAGAGATTAAGACCTTTTTTTCTAAGATTACAGATGTAGAGAGCAGTTGAAAAGAGATTTCAACCAAGGCCAGTAAGTGGTCAGAACCATACTGAAGCTGATCAACACTTGATGCTAAGCCAGAAAGGTACCACAGGCTATGGTAACATTATAATTTCACTATCACAATGTTTATCTTATTGGTAAGCAAACTATGGCCTTGTGGGCCACAGGCGCGCCAATGTCTTTGCCTATTATTTTTGGCGTCTTTCCCAAAACAACAGCGGGGTTGGGTAGTTGCAAAAGAGACTGTATGGCCACAAAGACTAAAATATTTACCGTCCACTCCTTTACAAAAGAATCTGCCAATCCTCAGTGTATATTCTCTGGCCTGGGAGGTCTGCTGATCTCTCTGGCTTAGCAATTCAGAAAGGAAGAAACAGAAATGTATTTCCTACAGAGACGGAGAATATTCTAAGCCAAAAATTCTTAACTGATGGTCCATGGATCACTTATGTACTTCATGAATGGGATTCGGATAGACCCTTCGCTACATGCAAATAAAAGAAAAATGCAGCCTCTGCCTTTTCAGGTATTTTGAAGATTGGGGGGTTAGGTAGAGAGGATTTTACCAAACTGTGTTACTACAGCATTTTTTACTCCAAGCAATGTAAAATTATGGGCTGTTATCAGGCCCAGCTAGAGCTATGCAGTTACCACCTTGCCAGGTTAGGATATCAGAATAATTTCTTGGCACAAAGAATTAAAGAAAATATACCTTGCAGCTAGGATTACAAACCAATCTCTCCCTTCTCTAGCTCTCTCTCTCTCTCTCTCTCTTTTTTATACTGGGCTTAAGTTGGAAAACATAAAGTAAAAACTGACAATATGTCGCAAAGCTTACATATTCTTTTATATCAAATTTGGGTTTAAATCCTATCTTCTCTTCACAGCTATTTTAGCTTGGACCAATTGCTCTCTTCGAGCTTCTGATAAGACACAGCCATAATGTGAAAAATCTTAGGCTTCTGTGTGTAAGATTCTTGCCAGTGGAACTACAAAACCGTGGGGGGCGGGGAGCGGGATTGCATTTGTACCTCCTAAAAATACATCCTACGGTGGGATCTTTTTTGCAAGAGGAGGCCTCAGCTTGAAAGGCTGGGACTTAACTGAGATTTGGACTTTCTCCAACACAAAAGTCTGTCCTAAGACACTCTGTAAGGCTGTTCACAGTTTTGCCAAGCAAAACCACCCCATGTAGGAAGAGAGGCCTTAATGAGACCGTATGTCTGAGGAACGGTCAATGAGTTCATTGTTTAGAACGGAGGAGTAACCGGAAGCAGGACCTCTGACATAGGGACACCGCCTTACCTAGAACTATTACACATTTTTCTTACTCAATTCAGCCAGTTCTTGGTTTTGATCATTATGGCTAATTTGGGTTGTTTTCATCCTTACATACTCGGCCCAGGTCTACAAGAGAACAGCTCTTGAAGAGCCCAGGCTGTTCTTAGCACGCACATCTTGCTCTACCTCTGTCTGCCCCTGGCGACACTGTTAACATGGGTTTGTGTCTGATCCCGAGCAGCCTTCAAGCTCCTTTTCCTCTCCCCTCTTCTCCCCTCTCACCACCTCTCTCTTTCATACCCTAAAACAGAGTCCACAGCCATAATGTGAAAACCTGACAGTGCTTACCATACTGCCTTCTGGATCTTTTACATACTCATTTATTCTTACACTATACCTGAAAGATAAAGACCACTGTAAATACTCTAAGTTTTAAAAGAAAGAAAACTAAGTCATGGAGTCGTTAAGCAACTTCCCCAAGATCACACAGCTATTACATGATGGTACTTGGAGAGGACCCAGAAAGTCTAACTCCAGCCCCCAAGTCAACCAGTAACCCTATCTTCCTTCAAAGATTCTTGATAAATGTTCACTCAGCTGATTCTGGCACAACTCTGCACAGATGAATACAAACAAATATCTGGTCTTAGAGGAGAAAGAATATTCTTAAGGTCTCAGATCCTTAAAACTTTTCTTGGGACATACATAAATTATAAGAGGCAAAGTTTTCAAAGAACTATCAAAAGCTTTGATTTGCATGATATACAAAATTCCATTTGATCACCATAGGCCTCTTAAGGGCACAAAACCTCTTCAAGCACATATGTGGAATGGTCGTGTTTTAGTAATCTACTGTCACTTAATACATACTTCCATCTGGGGAAAAAAAAAACAAACAAAAACATGAAGCCTCTAGATGCAAGGTCAATGAGCTTTTTGTTTTTCTGTTTTTAAATTGCTGGCATCAGCCATAGAGGATTGAACATGAACTTGTTATCCTTGAAATAAACTGCTGCCTGCCAAAATCCACCCCCCAAAGTTGATCTGATTAAGCAGTAAACATAATTAGAAGACACAACCTCTGTTAGGACCTTTATTCAAACAAAGGGTTTAGCACAGGGCAGAGCCATTTTAAAGTTTCTCATCAAAGCACTGACTGTTGAAAGCAAAAGAAAAAAAAATTTAAGCCAACAGAGAATAAGAGGAAGTCGTATTACTCAATGTCCATGCCTCTGTGTTTGCAGAATGACCTCAGCATGGGTAGAAAGAGGGGACAAATTCTTGATGGTCTGTGAGGACCACCTTGAAGGTGATGTGATAGAGATGAAAACAGAATCTGGATCTTCTAAGTGAAAAAATATTAATTAAAAAAATCTGCACAAAGAACCATATATGCCAACAGGTCTCCACAGTATCCACTGCAATAATGATGATGACTTTGACAATGGTGGTGATATAGTCATAATAAATAAGCTAATAAGACTTACATGCCAAACTAATATATTTTTATTAAAAAGTTAAAAAGTTAAATTGCCAAGTAGCAGAATCAAAAATATTGTTTTAAAATAATAAAAAAGTGCAGTGAACATTTGTCTTATTCATCCGTTCGTTCATTCATTCATTCATTTGTGGCAGCCCAGAGTCATTCATTCATTCATTCATTCATTCATTCGTGGCAGCCCAGAGTCTGTGCTCCTCCTCCAGTAGTTGGGTTTCCTGTGGGGAGTTCAGTCTTGCCTCACTTTGTGAAGTCTCAGTGGAACCCCAAGGTGCTGGGCCTGCCCTAACGCCCTCAGTGGATGTCAGAGGGGCTCCTTTGGCCAATCATTCATTTCAGTGCCTGGTGGAGACAAAGGGCAGGCACGTGACCTAAAACACAAGCTCAGCCAGAGGACTTAATTTTCCCAGGACTTTGTTATGAAGGTAAAAAACAACCTGGTATAAGTCTCCCCATTTGTTCCCGGGCGGGTGCTCAGGCGCTCTCAAGATACCATCCAGCCAACTTTCCCGCCTGCCACATGCCGGCTTCTTCACTGGCCCCTCAATGCCATGTACTTCCCTATGCTCTTCCAATATGTTCCGTTTTATTTTTCAAGCCATCCGTACTCTGTTTCATTTGTTTGCTCCCAAACTAGAAGTGTTGGGTATCAGCTGAGCAGGGAACCGAGTAAAAACCACAATGACCTAATTGGGCAACTGGGTCATAGGTGAGGACAGAAGCTGGGAGAGGGAGACAGATGGGGGGGGATCCCGAGAAGCTGGGAACACCAGGTGTGGCAGTGCCAGGGAGCCCAGGGGAAGGTCACCAGGGCGCTGGCAGTCGTGAGACAGCCCAAGCTCCAGAAAACAGAGCGATGAGCAAGAGTCCCAGAATAGTTTATACTTCATGACAAGTTTAAGCTGACATGGTTACTCAGAAACAGCTTCTACACTACGTACAAACCCACCAGGAGATGAAAAAAGCCTTCCATTTCTTTGTTCACAATTAATGTTCAGACTAAAGCAACTCGATCACAGATCACAACTTAATATCCTGGAATATTCTAAAAAAAAAATGTATTGTATTTCTCTTCCTTCCTGTGTGCTCACCTTTCTCATTTTCTTGTCTGCATAATGAAGTGAGGCTTATCATGTCATTTTGTTTCTAGCTGATTTTACAGCCCAGCTCATCATTACAACTATCTCACAGACCTTAAAACCTTCCCATGAGCCTTATTTTCATAAATCCACTTAAAATGAGCTCACATTAAACTTTACACAATACCACTTAAAAAAACTAAAGCTAAAACCCAAAATAAAATTACATCTGCCACTTAAAACTTTACTAAGAAAAACAAACAAAATGTGGGTTAATAATGATTATTGCCAGACCCATGTGACCTTATTTGTTTGGAAACAAATATCTAAGCAAAAAAAAAAAAAATACATGGGAAAGATTTGGTTTTATCCACCTAATCGTACCTGAATAGGGACTCTCTTGACAGCCAGATTTCATTCTGTTTCACCGTTTTCCAGGAGAAAAGCAACAGCAGCAGCACAGTGGACACAGTCAGGGTAGTAGCCCCGCATCGATTCAGCCAAGTGCACAGCTTGCTCAGTCCATGCACAAAAAGGATGCAGTAGCCCATGCTGGAAAACAGTGTGGGAGAGGCAGCGTTACTTTGCGAGTGCAGTGGAGGCCCCATGAGTGATCTATCCCATATACCTAACTTTCACATAAAGCTTGTCCTGTGATGGAGAAACAAGCACAAACACCCCCGTCTTATGCTGACATGTTGGCTTTCTGCTAGGCTGTACCGGCACCTCGCTAGTTCTTTGGCATTTTTGTGGAGGATCACAGGCTCAGCGTTTGGGCTCAGACTGCCCTGGATTTCAGCAGCTCAGACATCACGAGAAGTCCCTTATGTATGGTCTCGGGTCCTGAATAGGCCCTCTGACTCTTGCTCCCTTACGTCATTGACGTTATACAACCATATTGGTATCGTGTGTCTAAATTTAGACCGTGCTGCAGCAAGCAGGTCACATCACGACTTTGTGACAGACAGTTGCCAAGACTTCCCCAGCAAGTCCTGGGCGGGATGCTGGTCATCAAGGGGCACGGGTGTCTGTCTCTAGGGATGGGCTGCCTGCTATGTTCCCACTCTGGTCAAAGTCCTTATCCACAGGCCACCTCCTGAGCCTTGCAGCTTGGAGCTCATCACAGACAAACTGTATCGATACGCTTTTCTTGCTGACTCCGGCTCAGCTTTCTAAATAGACGTCTGAATCGATCATGTTATCTGAGTGGCATGTCAGTATCACATTTCTAAAAGCCTTTGGCCTGGTGGTGCCTCATGTTATCTATGCAACCACAGAGATGCTTCCTACTTGTTGACTGGCCTCAGAAAAATGCAAACATTTTGTACCCATTATTGCCACATGCATTTTAGTTAAAACTCACTTCTTTCCAAAGATAATAAACTACAAATTATAACAATATTTTAAGGATGAAACAAGACTATGGGGCACCCGAGTGGCTCAGTTGGTAAAGTGTCCGAGTGTAGGTCAGGTCATGGTCTCGCAGTTCATGAGTTCGAGCCCTGCATCAGGCTCTGTACTGACAACTCAGAGCCTGGAGCCTGCTTCGGATTCTGTGTCTCCCTCTCTCTCTGCCCCTCCCTTGCTCACGCTCTCTCTCTCTCTTTCTCTCTCAAAATAAACATTAAAAAATTAAAAAAAATAAATCCTACATCAGTTAGACATTAATGCTATAAGAATCCCAAATTAAGATATCGCCCATTTACTTGTTCAATTATTTACTCATTCTCTCTATGTGACTGGCAATAAACTAGGCAGTAAGGATGCAATTATAAAGAAAACACACGTCCTGTCCTCAAACAACTCCAATCTATTGAGGCAGGTTGGGTTTGTAAAGGAAAACACTTAAATCGTCTCATTTATAAAATGATACCTCCTTTAAGAAAATCTCCCCACTTTCCTTCTATTCACCTTTCTGAATGCCTGGGCTTTGGTCTCAAGTATTGAAAAACAAGAGAGGCATGTGAGGTTTCTTTTTTTTTTTTTTTTAATTTTTTAATGTTTAATGTTCTATTTATTTCTGAGAGAGAGAGAGACAGCATGAATAGGGGAGGGTCAGATAGGGAGATATAGAATCTGAAACAGGCTCCAGGCTCTGAGCTAGCTGTCTGCACAGAGCCTGACACGGGGCTCGAACCCATGAACCAAGAGTTCATGACCTGAGCTGAAGTCGGACGCTTAACCGACTGAGCCACCCAGGCGCCCCGGCATGTGAGGTTTCTGATGTGGAGATGCTAGGAATCAGTTCAAGTTGGAGCTCCAATTCCATACGTCAAATCCCATAAGTTGGTTGGTCCAGCTCCCTAAAGTGTTAGGATTCACCCTTTGGCCACAAAGGGTCACCACCCCCACATACCAGTGGAATACTGTGGTTCAAGCTAAGGAGGCCCATGCCTATTACTGGATTTGATTGCCATAATCACTCTGTAGAAGCCCTGAACATTCCAGAATAGAGTCACGTGTGTATGTATATATGTATGTATATGTGTGTATATATGTACACACACACAAATAATACAAATACAAATTCGAAACCTCTTTCTTTTACGACAAGCTGGGTTTGGCCTTAAAGGTATCAAGATTTTCTAAGTGTCTCTCATTCTGTACAGCTTGCCATGCCGATGCCATTATAGACCACCATGGCTGCTCAAGTTCATGAGGCTGCTTGCCATTTGTTCCTCTAGCCTCATCCAGATACCAGTCCTAATGGAGCAGGGTGCAGCTGGCTACATGAAAGCCTTCTGGGCACCATTCTTTCATTCAACAGATATTTAATAAACACCAACTGTGCCCTGCCATTGTTACAGGCACCAAGAACACATAGGTGGGCAAAACAGACAATAACGTTTGTGCTTGTGGAATCCACATGGGTGGGGAGAAACAGCCAATAAGCAAATAAAACGCAGAGTCTGCCACACAGCAGGGTATGTTACATGGGGGAAAATCTTATCAGGAAAGAGGAAGAGGGAGTCCAGGGTGGGGAGGATGTTGAGATTTTAATAAGGCTGGTCAAGAATGGAGCCACTGGATGGGGCGCCTGGGTGGCTTAGTCGGTTGAGCGTCCGACTTTCGCTTGGGTCATGATCTCACAGTTCGTGGGTTCGAGCCCCGCGTTGGGCTCTGTGCTGACTGCCAGCTCAGATCCTGGAGCCTGTTTCAGAGTCTGTGTCTCCCTCTCTCTGACCCTCCCCTGCTCACGCTGTGTCTCTCTCTCTCCTAGAAATAAATTAAAAAAAAAAACATTAAAAAAAAAATTTAAAAGAATGGAGCCACTGGAAAAGGGACAGGTAAACAATATCCTGAAATACACGAGCAGTGTGCTGTGCAGACACCCGCAGCTCTAGCGCCAGTTGACTTCCTGCCCCTGTCCTCATAAAACAGCCCACCGAGAACTGACATTTACTGAGCAAAGTCTTATGTGCCAAGCACGTTCTACAGATGAGTTCAGCCCTTCCTCACATCCTGGTGGGTCACTGGCTGTTAGTGGTGTTTAACCATAAAGATGCTGATGAGGAGAAAGGTGAACTGACTTCCTGAATTGGATCACACGGCTTGTACACAGTGGAGCAAAGATACAAACCCAGGAACTTCAGATTTCAGAGCTCACACCCCATATGCTGTCCTGCTTGTCTGGGTTCTGACCCGACTGGCTGATTCTTGTGTTCCTCACACTCTTTTTTTTTTTTTTTTTTTTTATGTTTATTTACTTTTTGAGAGAGAGACAGAGAGAGAAACAGAGCATGAGCAGGGGAGGGGCAGAGACAGAGGGAGACACAGAATCTGAAGCAGGCTCCAGGCTCTGAGCTGTCAGTACAGAGCCCAACGTGGTGCTTGAACTGATGAACCACAAGATCATGACCTGAGCTGAAGTCGGACACTTCTCCAACTGAGCCACCTAGGCACCCCTTGTGTTCCTCACACCTTAGCACACAGCTTCACCTACTTCCTTCCTAACCACTCCATTCATAAAATTGTAATAGTCATTTTTTCTGTCTCCTTGTAGGAAAAATTGCTGCCCATCTGGCAGAGCACTGGGGAAGGAAAATACTGGGATCCCCACACTGGATCTCAGAGCCAGGCCCACAGAATGGCAGAAGACAAGAACAATGAAGACAACGATAACAAAAAATAATTAGCTATTTTATACATTTATATGTTTATATTGAGTCCTTCCTATCAGCAAGGCACTGTGCTAAGAACTTTATATGGGCCTGTCCATAATATTTGTATGGCCTAGGATAAGGACAGTATTGGCTTTAAATATATTATTTGATTTATGGGGCACCCGGGTGGCTCTCAGTTGGTTAAAGCATCCCGACTGTGGCTCAGGTTATGATCTCACGGTTCCTCAGTTCCAGCCCTGCAGTCGTGCTGACAGCTCAGAGCCTGGAGCCTACGTCAGATTCTGTGTCTCCCTCTCTCTCTGCCCCTCCCCCACTCATGTTCTTTCTCTCTCTCAAAAATAAACATTAAGAAAACATTTTAAATATATTATCTGATTTAAAAATATAATCCTCAGTATCTTTCATTTCATAGATGAGCAGACTAAAGGTAATAGGAGTTAAATAGCTTGCTCGCAACACCCATAGCTAATAAGAGAGTCAGCTCAGAAAACCCATGACTCTAACACTCCACTGTACTCCAGAAGCTGGCAAATGTTTTGTGTAAGGGGAAAAGAGTAAATATTTCAGGCTCTTCTGCCCTTCCCACTCTATCTTTGTAGCAGGAAAACAGCCATGGACACTATGTAAATGAATGGGCATGGCTGTGTTCCAATAAAATTTATTTATAAACCAGGCAAAGTGCCAGACTCCACTCAGGAGCCACAGCGTGTTGACCCCACTATAACCAAAGGTAGGAGAATGCTATTCCTTTCCCCTCAGCACAGGCATCAGTATCAAGTAACACAGTCATTTTTTTTGGAAAGTCCTCGTATTGACATATGGTTTAAAGAAATGGTAAGCCATATAAAATAATCTCTACTTAGGTTTGCAAATTTCTTAGAGAGTATCACATTCTTAAAACCTTGAACACAATATCACAAAGATTAAGATGCTTCTCTATTATGACATTTCATCCTTCAACATCTGCTTTAATATAGATCTCAGCAGCGGGGGGTGGGAGGGTAGGATTGCTCTCTCCATTGCTAGGGGCAGGGCAAGTCCTCATTCTGAAAGAAGAAAATCAAGCAAATGAGAAGCCACATGCTTTTGTGGCCTCCAGGGAGAAGAAACCAGACTCCAGATAGCTTTGGTTAATCTGGGTAAGGGGAAATCTGGGCTCTGATCAGAGGCCTCTCTCTCCACAGAGCATGAAGGAGTCAATGCAAACCACTGACATGTCACAAAACCGTAACCTGAACCAAGAGCCAAACTCCAGCTGCTTATTGGTTTAGCTCATTACTAAAGACACATTTTTTTAAATGCCTATTTATTTTTGAGAGAGAGACAGAGTGTGAGCAGGGGAGGGGCAGAGAGAGAGGGAGACATGGAATTTGAAGCAGGCTCCAGGCTCTGCTAACAGCAGAGCCCAATGCAGGGCTTGAACTCACG